CTGGTCTGAAACTTTCCCGTGGCAATCTCAACCACTTCTTGGCGTTACTGTATATATTGGGGTATAATCCCAGTCCTCTCCCCACTATAATTAGAAGAGACAGAGTCATCTTATACTCTGACCATAAAAAAAAAGTCCTTCGTATTACTGGATGTTCTCTCAATTATTTTGAACATCAGAATGTTCTTTGGGGGAACATGCAGCAGCATGAAATAAATCCATTCTGTGTTCATATAGAAGCCACCTGACAGAATTGGTAAGAAACAAAGAAATCTTACACAAATTTAGAAATTAGTTCCAGGGAGATACCTTCAAATTTTCAAGTGTTGGATGTGCTCGAAAACAAGCCCTTAAGAGTCATTATAGAAAAAATATAGATGAATATGGGTATAGGATAGATGATGTAGTGTCACTAGATACTGTAACCTGGAATAAAATTCTCACATATCAAGAATATCACATATCAACAATGCCACATATCAATGCCACAATATCACAATCTCACATATCAACAATGCCACATATCAAGTCAAAAATTGAGGTGGAAGTAAAGATAATCTGTCTTGGGAAACCGTGTCAGAGACTCAAAATGTGACTCTGGTGATGATAAAAAGCCTGTGAAGAGTTTCTAGAAAATCATTTTTTAGATTATATTTCATTAATAGTTTAAAGTATATAAGTATAATTAAGTTAATGCATTAAATAGTATCAGTAGATCTCTGATTATTTCATCTACATCTTCAAAAGTTCATAAATTTAAGCTGGCTACAAAGTTTTATTGCGGGTGGATTTTAATTGGGAAAATGGTGCACGCTCTGTACTCAAAGGCGTCTTCTATTTAGGCATAGATAGTACATGCTGATGACTCACCTCCTGTCCAGTTCTCCCTGCTAAACCCCAGACCCAAATAACAAACAGTTTACTGACACTTCTACTTAGATGTCCCTTAGGCACTTTAAATTAAACTTGTCCAAAGTTAAACTCACATTTCCTCCCATCTGCTCCTCTTCCTAATTCCCCTCTCAGTGAATGTCACCACCTTCATTCCAATGCCTAAACTGAAATCTGAGTCACCCTCGCCTCCGGTCTCCCACACACACCTCTGTCGCTTCTATCTCTCTCCTAAATCTCTCTCTTATCTGCTCACTTCTCTTAACTCCCTCTGCTTTACTCCAGGCCCCCTCCATCTCCTCCCCAGACTACTGTGAACAAAATCGGAACTGGTTTCGTAGGTCTTGTCTCCTTCCAATCTACACTTCATGAAGCAGCCTGCGTGATTCTTCTAAAATGCAAATCCGATGTCAGTTCTCACTGCAGGATAGCTAACTCATCTTTGGCTCAGTTTAGAGACTGATGCTTCTTCCCTAATTCCCCAACCCCACCCTCCCTCTGCCCCCACAAACAATTTAGTCAGGTTAGATGCTCTTACTGTTTCCCACACTCCTTATCTTTCCTTACCATAACATTCTTCACACTTCTTTGTTACAACTCTTTCCTGCTAGACTGGGAACCTTGTCTATCTGGCTCACCATTGCGTTCCTTGAACACAGGGCAGAGCATGAGACACGGTGTTTTATAAATATTAAATGAACGAATGAATAATTTTATCTCAGCACCCAGCACAATTTCTGGCAAAAAAGAGATCTTCAATAATATTTGGTGCATTAATAAGTTGTTGTGGAACTACAGATATATGATTAAGCAACGTGTAATGAGCAAAATTAATATTGTGTAGGCTTTGTCCTTAAGGAGCACATAGCCTTCTTAATTAGGCTTAATTCAGAGACGGCTCTCTAGAACAGGTGGCTTTGGGAGGAGAAAGGGAGAAATAAAAATTCTTACCTAGTGAAATGTAAAGGGTGAGTGTGAAAATGTCAACACTTGGGTAGGAGAAAATCTTGTGCCTACATGAGTTACATGGGTAACTCCTAGTTAAAATTTTCTGCGTCTAGGAATTGTTCTATATTCGGACCTACTAGTCAGGGGGCTAGCTTTCTTCTTCGCTACCTTGGATACTGGTATTCGGCCAGGGAATCAGCTACAGAATCTAATTACTGCCAGCAATTAAACACTGAAATATATTGCCTCTCTAAAGTTGGAAAATAATCCTTTTACTACAGAGAATACGATTCTTACCAAGTTTTATATTCATTGGCTTTATTAATTTTTCATTTAATTTTTATATCAAAGTACGCTTAGAATAAATTTCACAAGAATATTTGGTCTAGTTATTTTTGGCCTGCACTTTGATAACTTATACCAACATACAAAGGCCAGTCTGTTTTCTTTGCTCTAAAACTTTCTTTGTGCTCTATTCCTTGAACATGGGCCTCATGCTCTTAGATGAAAAAAGTGTTAATTTCACAAATGGCTTAATATATCTCTGTAGATTAATAGTTTAGACTACATAAAATATGTTGATTAGCAGTATAAATGTGAATTGAAGTATTAGTTGAAAATCTTGTTGGGAGGATGAAAATGATAAATAAGATTCTTAAGGAAAACTCTCAGAGATGCCTTAGTAGAGAGAAGAGAGGTTAATGAATTCAAATGCTGATTTTTTTAGAGGGACTATCTACAATGTCAGTTACATTGCAATAAGAGGAGGAATCTGAATTCAAGTGTGTGCCTGGGGTTACTTTTCTTGAACTGATATAGGCTCTATAACTTTTCATTTGGGGTTCCATCTATTAGTGGTTTATTAAAGTGAGCTTAATTAAAATTGTGATTTAATCACAAGTCAGAAATACATGATTTAGTCACCCTATTTTACAGAAAGTGCTTTAAACTTTTTGACTTAACTCCAATGTACATGATGGGCTGAGAAGTTAGTGGCACAGTTCACAAAAATGAAACATGAAAATCAGTCTGATATTTTATTAGCCACAACCCATAGTTCTTCCTTAAACTTCATTTTAGAAGTCACATTATACATTTTACAGTTTTACCAATGAAAAATTTTCAGACTTAAAAAAGATATCTGAAAATTAACATTTGCGAGGCAATTTATAGTTTCCAAAGGGTTTTTCTCATTAATTATCTCAGAAAACTGAATAATCACATTATTCATGATGTGATTATTAAAGGTTAATTAAGCAAATACTTGTGAAGTAATTGGGAGGTAATCTATTTCTAATTTAACAGGTCAATCAGGGGTATTTACGAAATATTTTTGCTGGTTAACAACTCTAACCAAAACAAAAAGATATTTAAACGGTTTCCCTGGTGGAAAACAATAAGCATGTTTGTTCTTTCAGGAGTCGATTGTTTCAAAGAACTGGGATGAGGGTTCCTAATCCCACCGTTTGGATGATCTAAGAGGTTTCATGAGGAGTCTGAGCTCTTCCCTCCTAATGTTAACGCAAACCTTATATTGCTTATTTTGGCACTTCCCAATAAAAGAAAACATTTGAAGAAAATAATTACGAGAAGGCACGCAGGGATGTGGAAATCAGAGAAATAGCCATCTTCTCGTGGGAAGCAACACATTTTGGTTATTGACTATGCAGAGCAGTGAACAAAAATCCAACTCATGTGAACAAGGAAGGCATGACTCTTCCAGCATTAACCACACAAAGACATTTTCTTAACTCTTCCATGGGTGTAGTTTATAAAATTAGCAGTATTCCCATCAGCAGTGTAACTACAAACTGCTTTCCCCTAACTCTGGGAAGCCTGGGTGCTGCCTCACGATGACCAAGGGTTCAAAATCCCATTCCTCTCGCTCCCGGTTTACCGGCGAACCGCGTCATCTCCAGATTCGAGAGAGCGAAGTGCCCCGCAGAGGCATAGGTAAAAGGTCTGCTACAGCTAGAGGATCAGCACCGGGACGCCCTCGGGCTCAGGCTCGGTCCCGGCTCGGGCTGGACGGGTGGACGCCGGGCACCTTTGTCTGCGCCCTGCTTCCTTGGACCGGGGCCGAGCGACGCCGGTGGGGGCGCGAGCCCGGCGGTCCGGGCGGGCCCCAGCCCTTCCCGGGGAAGCGCGCGGCGAGGGCGGCCCGGCCTGGAAGCCGGAGGTCAGCGGCGGCGCGGTGGGCCCCCTCCCACGGGAGCCGCGCCAGGTCCCAGCAAGAGCCGGGCGGGATCGCTATTGTTTTTGGCGAGCACATAAATCCCAGCGCCGACCCTCTGCGCACCCAGGTTTCCTCCCGGAGGCCATTCGGTTTCCTCTGAGGCCCTATATAGAGGCCCTGGGCCCAGGCTGAGGAGAGGTGCGATCCCGCTCCGGCCTCCTGGACAAGCCCGAGCTTCGAGCGCCTCGCGCCCCCAGTCTCCGCAGCCCGAAGTGTCAGGGGAGGTGAGAAAGGGGGCGATTTCTCCCTGGGGCGAGGAGCCCGCGGCTAGGGTGCGCATGGACGAGGGGCTGCGACTAGCGGGCGGCTGCGGGGAGGAGGAGGAGGATCCGCTTCTCCGGGGTTTCCCTGACGCCAGCAGCAGCGCCCGGCGCGCGCGCCCCGCTCCCGTCCGCGGCTCCGGGGGGAGGGGGAGGGGAGCGCCGCCGCGGCCGGCTAGGCGGCAGCCGGGATTGGAGCGGGGGCGGGCCGCGCACGGAGCCGAGGGGGAGCGGGCGAGGGAGGCGCGCGCTTGCGCGTGCGCGGGTGTGCGCGCCCCGGGCCCCCGCCCCCCACCCCCGCCGCCTGCGGTCTCCGCCCCCCTCGAGCTGGTGTGTGGAGCCGGAGTCGGCGGCGGGTGGCGGCGCCTGGAACCTGGAGACCGACCCCCCCCCCGCGCCCCGACTCAACCCGGGCCCGGAATGTACTGACTCTCCCCCCTCTCTGCTCTCCTCCCCTCTCCGCCCCCCTGCAGGAGGGAGGCGCCCCCGAGTCTCCCCTCCCGCGAGAGGGGCCGCGCGGGCCGGGCCGGGCGGAACAGTGGCGGCGGCGGCCGCGGGAGCCGAGCCTGCAGCGAGGGACCGGCTGAGGCGCGCGGGAGGGAAGGAGGCGAGGGCTCCGCGGCGCCGCCGCTGCCGCCGCCGCTGCCGCCGCTCGCGGGGCAGAGATGGCGGCGGAGCGGGGAGCCCGGCGACTCCTCAGCACCTCCTCCTTCTGGCTCTGCTGCCTGCTGCTGCTTGGGCGTCCGGCGCCCACCGCGGCCGCCAGGAGCGGCTCCCCGCCGCAGTCCCCAGGTAAGCGGGGGTGCGGGCCCCGGAGGCGCGGGGTGGGGGCGGGGGCGCGGCACCCGCACCGCACCGGTGGCTGCGGTGTTTTTGTTTAGGATCCTGGAGGAAACGTGCAGGAACTTCTCTGCCTCGGCTCGGGTTGCCCAAGAGAAAGGGGGTAGCGCGGGGTGGAGAGTGAAGTAGGCGGGCGAGGGTGCCGCCGGGGGAGGGGCGGCCGCGGGGGCGCGTCGGGGGCTCCCGGGTCTAGTTCTGCGCTTTGTACCCGGAGGCAGGTTCACCCCTCGCCTCCCTCCCCTCCCCCAGGCTCATCCCACTTGTAAGAGTGGGACATTCTTGTGCTCACACAAGCACCAGTAGAGGCCACTACACACCTCATTAAATAAACAATCGCACGGCCAATTCATTAATTTTCAGGAAAGGAAGGGGGAGGGGGTGCTAGAACTCCGCATTCCCTGGCTAGGGATTTCCCTGCTGAGGTCCCAGGAAAGCGCTGGCAGATCTCGAGGGACACCTCGTGCGGGGATGGTAGCCCCGAGGCTGCGGAAGAGAGAGGGTGTCTGAGGGGCACAATTGCCCCCTCACAACCGCTAGTGTTGACTTAATGATGAGGGCGCCTTGGAGAACCGCTCCAACTGATTTTATCTGTTAGTGTTTCCGTTATGAAATGTTGCTTCTTTCCTGGGGATTACAACTCTATTTACAGCCTGGTAACTGCTCTTAACCTAGGGAATTGTCTGAGCATCGGATTTTAAGTACTTTATGTTTCCGAGTGGCAATGTATATATTTAGCCCGAAAAGCCCTTTTCAGGTGTTATTTTTAAATATCATAGATTATTGAAATTACCTGTGTCCCTGTTTAAGGAGGCCAATGAACAGACGCCAAGCCTGCCTGTTAGAAGACGTTACAGGGTAGTTGAGCGGGACACATTCAGCAGTTGAAGGGCAAATTAGCATGTAATCTGGCTAAATTGTTTGACCAAGGTGGTGTATTGTAAAACTTGACAAAACTCTCACCTACTAGTATGAGATCTGAAATTTTTGCACTTGAACGTCATCTGATCAGGCACAGTGGCAGCTTTTAACCCCCAGGCTTTACTTGTTTTTCGGATTCATACTGAATAATACTTAAAATCACACTGCAAATGTAACTTGACTGATAAACTTTCTTTTGATTTTCTTGCAGAGTGTTATTAGCTCAAAAGAAAAGCTTTAAACCTGAATACCAGTGGGCTTTATCTAAACAGCGATAAATAAATAATAGCGTTTTAGTATCAAACCTGCACTTGGCACATTCAGCCTGTACCTGGGTTAGAATACACATTTTGGGCCTGAAATGTAGGATTACTGATCCACCCTTTCTATTTTTGTGGATGGGCAAGAGAAATGTAACTATTTTGGAAGAAGGATTCCTCCTCACTCTTAATTTTATATGTAGTTCCTATTATGTTTGTTTTAGGTAATTGGTGGAGGTTCTTTAGAATTTTGTCAGTAATTCTGTAAGTAAATAAAATGCCAGTAATTTTATTAGGTTAATAAAAGTCATGTAAGCAGTCTCTTAGAAGTGGTTGAAACATGTATTTCAACACTGATTCAATTGAAGGCTTTTATTTTGTGACGGTGGGGTGCAGACATTGCTTAAATGTGTGTCCGGCCCTCATGGAACTTCCAGTCTGGTGAGTCGGTAGAAAAGATAGCCGTTAAACTACCAATTATGTAATTAAGCACTAGAAAGAAGAAGAATGGGTTTTGAGAAAGGGTATACTGCTAGGACCCAATCTAGTCTGGGTGTCGGAAAAGTGAGATCTGAAGGGGGAGGCGGGCTGGAGGTGGGGAGGCTCACAGCTAGTTAGTGGTATAAGTAGGGATTAGAGCACATATCTGATTCCTGGTTCAGAGTACTTTGCATATGCCATCCTGCTTTATTTCTCATTTCTGCAATAAGAAGGGGCCGGTCAGTTCTGTCATAAGCTGCAGGGAGATGGAGGGAACTGAGAACTGAGTAAGTGGCAACTGAAACAAGGGGTCGGTAGATTCTGTGTCGTTTGTCAGTGGTTTTAATTTTTTATTTTTGTGGACGGGTAGACTCAAACCTTTCTGTGGGGGATTACAGTGAGTAGGTGGTAGGGTGATGGAGGTATTTGGTAGAAAAGGGAGAAAAATAAGGTGTGGGACAGTGGGATAAATGTAGTGGTTTTCCAGTTTAGGGTAGACTTTGAGGAGGACAAAGGAGGGAGATGAACTAGTGATGGAAAATGGTTGGCTGTAGAGGGTTGGAAGTGATTAGGCACACTGGCTGGTTTTAGGAAGGAAGGAGGGGAAGATTTCTGAGAAAATGAGTAGGGACCTCGGGAAAGAAGTCAGGACAGAGCAGCCTGCCTGTGCTGTGCAAGGCTTCTCTAATCAGAGTGAGGGCTAAGGAATGGTGATGGGGTAGAAATGAGATGCAAGAATGGGAAAAGTAGGGAAGTCAGTGTTGAGGGGTCAGCTGAAATCAGTTTGAATTTAAAGTAGACCAGATGGCACCTGGGTGGCTCAGTTGGTTAAGCTACTGCCTTCTATTCAGGTCATGATTGTGGAGTCCCAGGGTCAAGTCCTGCATCAGGCTCCCTAACGTTACCCCTCTCATGCTCTCTCTCCCTCATTCTCTCTCTCAAATAAATATATAAATAAAATCTTAAAAAAAAAAAAAAAAAAGTAGACCAGATGAGCTATTTCCAGTTTCTTCAGCAACTTTCTATATGCCAAGAGCAGAATTAGTGAAGTTTTAATCTTGTGTTGGTTTTTTTAATGAGTTACATGAAATATGTAGAAACCTTTTAAAAAACTTTACTAGAGTAATTGAATATTCTGTTCCTTGGTCAGAATGCAAAAAAGTGTTGGGGAAATGTTGTAATGATGGTGAGGCTAACCTTATTCTAGTCTTCAGGCGTGTACCGTAGCTAGGTGTACTGTAGCTACATTTCTCCTTTACGGGAACAATCCCCTTGTCAACATCCCACATGGATGACACTTTCTGTCTGAATCATTGACTTGATGTGATTTGTTACCTCACAGGGTGGTCTGTTCCCGTTTTGAATAACTTTTGCCAGTAAACACCGCTTTATGCTGCACTTTTAACTTTAATTTTCAACCTTCCCACTCTTCTTGATTTTTTCCCCCTTTTCTCACCTTTTTGGGCATCACTCTGTTAATTCATCTTTTGTGATCAGTTCATTGTTTGTTATTCAGGCTTTTCTTTCACTCCCTTATTAAATGTTGGCATCAAAGATGATCTCCTGTCTTGTCTTTATTGCTACCTGTAAGCTAATGACTCTCCTAGTCCACTCTTCTTTATGTGCCATTCAGTAGCTTCTCTGAATAGGCACCTTATGTTACACAAGAACAAAGGTAAACTCATTTTTGCTCCCCTTCCCTCCTCCTTCACTCATCCCCTTTCTGTAGACAATAACAAACCAATTCCTGGCCCTGGGCTCTCACATTTTTGAATGATTGCATAGACTTGTCTTCCTGCATTACCTATTTTGGGCATCTCTGTGCGCCATTCACCCAAGTTGAGATCTAGAAGTCATCCTGGATTCTCCCCTTTCTCTCATTCTTATAGCCCATACTTCTATTTGATTTTTACCGCCTAGATATTTCTTGAATCTGAAACTTTTCATCATCATCCCCACCTAGACTAACAATAGTAGCTTTGTAATTCATCTCTATCTCTGCTCTTACCCTCCAGACATCTGTCTTCCCGCAGGAATGAGTTTTCCGATGTCCTTTTCTGAGTATGCCATACATCTACTTAAAATATCTTTTTTTTTTTTTTTAAGATTTTATTTATTTATTTGACAGAGAGAGATCACAAGTAGGCAGAGGCAGGCAGAGAAAGAGAAGGAAGCAGGCTCCCTGCCGAGCAGGAGCCTGATGTGGGGCTCGATCTCCAGGACCCTGGGATCACGACCTGAGCCGAAGGCAGAGGCTTTAACCCACTGAGCCACCCAGGTGCCCCTCTACTTAAAATATCTTATTAGTGTTCCACAGCTTGAGTGTCAGAGTCCTTGGCATGAGGATCGTGAGGCCTTTTGTGTTCTTTACCACTGGCCTCTCCCACCCTGAATTTGAAGCCTCATCTCTTGGCACCTCTAATGTGTGTACCTGGTGTTCCACCGCTTTGGGTTCGTTGCAGAGCTTCCTGTCCCCATGCCTCTGACATGCTGTCCTTCCTCCTCTTCCTCCTCCTCCTGCTGCTGCTGCTTCTCCACCCCTTTCCCTCCCCCTCTCCTTTTTCTTCTTCTTCTTTGTCCTTTCTTCCTGTTAATTCCACTTCTCACCTTGTCTACTGAGATTCCTGTTCATCGTTCAGTGAGTTTTTCTCTGCTATTCCCCTGCCCAAAGAGAGTTAGAGTTGTTATTAGCTGTGTTCTCATCGCTTTCCAAGTACTTCTAACTTTCCAAGTCTCGCGTCACTTACTTTCTTGACTCCTCAACTTGTCTGGACCTCTTGAAGATTGGGACTTTTCTTATTTACCTTTTGTGTACCTAGTGTATCAGAAGCATCTGGAACAGAGTGGATAACTGGTAAAATGCTGATTGAATGTTGAATTGCCTTTGTTTTTACCCTTTAGGGCCACATATATGCACAAGTCTGATTTCTTTGTGTGATGGCCTTTCACACGTTTAATGACAACATTTGTGTATGTGCAAGTATGCCACTTTCCCTTCCTTATCTAAGTGAATTAACCTTTGTTCCTTCAGCCACTCTTCACATTACTTACTTTTCTGACCCTTTGTGAACTTGGCCATCCTCGCCTGGATATGCTGTAGTTTTAATGTTTATTAGTTTTGTCACCTTTGTAAAGATGAGTGATTTTACTGAGTCTTCTGTAGACAGAGACTGATACCCTGCTCTGCTTGCCTAACAGGATGAGGTATAAAAGAATTTGTAGATTTCCAGGCACAATGTTCAAAGGACATAAGAAATGTGGCTATTCTTACTTAGCACACTGTATGAAAATTAG